TTGCCTTTTGAAAAAAAAAAAAAAAAGAATACTCAAATTAAAGGTCAGATGTTTGATCTTTTGGTAAACTGACAGTTTTTGGACAGAAATAATTAGAGGTCATTCTGATGCATATTTATTAAAAAGATTTGGATATTTTTGATTTTTTAAAAGGTTTGGAATCTCATATGCAAATTGCCATTGTTATAAGTAATAAAATGTTAGAAGACCATTTTAGTCATTTTATGAAATTGGTAAATTATAGTCAACACTTAACTTTTGGTCTACTAACAAATATTTGGACGAAAACCATCCAAAGTTTTTATATTGCACAATTTAAAAAGGCACGAGGGCTATTTGCTACTATTTAAATATTTGAGTGCTATCTAAACTATTTTGAAAGTTTTGACACCTTCGATGCAAATTTGCCAGAAGAAATTATGTTCAATACTTGTTATTTGTACTGTTTTGCAACGACTAAATTGAATGATATACAGATTTAAGTTGATTCATTTTTTATTTTTATTTTTTAAAAAAACTTGCTCTCGACGTGCCATAATACTAACAAAAAGGATTTTGATGGTACCAGCACCGCACCACAAAAGGCTGGACATAAGGAGTTTATTGAGGATTATGTTACTCATTACTTGTTGGCAGCTTGCTTGCTATTTGGAAAGAGAAGAGTATTTTTGTTCCGTTAGAAATAACTTTTAAAAAGTCAAAAGTTGTTTCTAAAACTAAGAAATTATTTTTGAAAATGTTTGAATAAATATCTGAAAATGTTTTGTTTGGTTAGAAGAACTTTCAAAAGAAATTGATTTAACGTATTTTTTTTTTTCAAAAAATAGCTAAAACGGAAATCCTTCCAAACAGGCCCAAAATAAAAGAAATTAAAATTCGAAAAATGCCATGTATACACCTCATGGTATGCACACGGCTTTATACCCCATCACATGGAGGGGGGTCCACGAATATTTTCTTGTGTGTGGGCCCTCTATGTGAGGGGGATGTAAAGCCCTGTGTACACTGTTGTGTACATGTAACATCTCCCTTAAAATTCTATGATATTGCATTTTTTAAAGTTATTTTGTATAAAAAAATTTCACTAACATTTTTTTACTTAATAAAAAGATACGAATATTTTCAATTATTAGCAGCTTTTTTCCACGAGTTAGCATGATAATGGGCCAAGTCGTGAGACTTGACACAGTTTGGCTCGTTCAATTCTAGATTTAGACTCGACTCGATTGAACTCGATTATCATGACTATGCTAGCTATTTACAAGAAGACAACTTGGTAAATTGATTAATGATTTTAATTAAAATGATCACGACAAGAATTTGAAATCTAACAACAATTATTTAATAAATTTATAATTTTAAAGAAAATACCATAAAGATAAAGAGGTCTTAAATTTAAATATGTAAACAATATTAGATGATCAGAAATCAATTATCATTGTCTACTGTGGCAATAAATATTTCAATAGATGTAACGACAAGTGATGTTTCTGTGAGTCAAGGATGGCAGTGGCACACTGTCAATAGATAAGGGGTCTTAAGCTGCCATTAATTGGTACCCCTTTGTCACTGGATTCAAATGTTGGGATCCATTTGTAATATTCCTTATAATTGGTGTGGTAACGTGCAAAACGTTAGAGAAATTGCACCATTAATCCCTACTTTATCATTCCAATTGAAAGATGGTCATCAACCTTTACAAATAAGCATAATTAGTTTATAAAATTTAACCCTAGTTGCATGCACAATCGGTTTCATTTATGAAAACTATCCAAATCTTTGTTAATCATATGACCACATGTAAGCAGATCTCCCTAACTTCACATAATCAGATTCTATAACAATTTTAGACATATTTCTTAACTGAAACTAATAGGATAACTATAAGAGTAATATTATTTAGAGGAAATTACAGCCAGCCCTACC